TAGAATCCCATTCGGCTAGAAATCTGAGTATTCAATCTCCATCCCCCACCTCTTAACATTTTGTTGCCTCCTCCCCAACCCCCATTCTCCCTTCATTTTGGCTCACCGAAATCTCAGTGCCACTTTTCTGGGAAAGCCTGTATTCTTACTTCAGTTTTGTAATTTAATGATGGAGAATTTCCTTAGTAAACCAAATTTAGAGTCCTAGAATGCTTATCTTATATCCAGACCTTGAACATAAAAGGCATTTTATACTTCCAATTGTTCATTTAATGAGCAATTGCAGAGTGCAGGCCGGTTAAGGGATTGAGCTATATGCACTATTATTGCAAGAAGTATTCCGAAATACCAGAAATAGGACGTAAGCTCTGATCAGGGAGACTGCGAGCACAATTACCTTCTTTTCAAATCCTTCTGTGACACTGCGGGAGGAAGGAGGACTTTGAAACTTGAAAGGAAAGAGCTTGCTTTCAACCTCAAAAGCTAGTAGGAAAGGGCTCTGAAATTTGCTCAGAATTCCCAATTCACCATTAGCCTGTTTCTTCCTTTAGCCTCAAGGCATTCTCCGCTTTTTGAAAAGATGTTAAGAAATTCAGTCACAATAGAGAGCCTAGTTTTGAACATGTTTCACTCGGTCCATTGAGGTCTGGGCTCCAGCCTTTGTGTGGGGTGAATTGAGCTGAGCTGCTAGCTGGTTGAAGAGAGGTGAATGAGGAGTCGCTATGCAGTCGCAAATTCTGGCAAAGAAAGAAACTCCCCCCTTCCTTTATTTTACAATATGCATTCCTGTACTACCCTGCTAGTGGCAATATGTGGAGTTGAGCCTTTCTTAAGTCAATACAGAGTACTTGGTTTATAGCATCTCTTGTTAAGTTTGTCTTGTAATTGAAGCTGTTGTTGACCTTGCTTGGGGACCATTTGTAAAACCGTTTATTTAGCATAAACTGAAATAATAAACCCTCCTTCTCTGGGGCTGATTGTGATAGGGTGACATTAGTTTGATTTAATGATTAGCCGCCTGACCCTTCTCCTGGAGAGATCGGCTTGAATAGAGAGAGTTCACTCAGAAGCACTCAGAAAGAATACTAATGAGCTTGTTAAATTTAGCATGGCTCCAACCACTTTTAATTCCTCTGATGGGAGCAGCACTGCCTAGGAGAGGGAGAAGGAGGCAGGGAGATACTGAGAACATTCCTAGAGGCTCTGCACAACTAGAGAAACCCCATCAAGAGAAGTTTGTAGAAAGTAACCAGCCAGAAGCTGGGGACTGAGTTGTAAGTATTATCTCTTCTCTTATACTCTGTCTTCTGTGTCTTGAGGGAAGAAAAGAGTAATGGTGTTAAAACAAGATTTAAGGGAACAGCTTGAAATTGAAGTTAGTTTAAAAAAATGTGAACACTTCTACCATGAGTTCCTTCCTAATCAGCTAATTTTTTTAGGATGACAAGAAGTGTTCCTAGTTAGTGATGTAGTGTAGGGTTTTATTTTTATACAAGTCTTAGGTGAATATACACTTGTCCCCTGGTTTGCAGTGAGAAATTGCCAGGAGTCTGTGAGCACTGCACAGGAGGAGTGTGTTTTCTAGTCCTGCTTCACGCAACAGGATTACTTTCTTTCAATCGTTACTGTAAACAGTCTGAACAGGGTTTGTGATGAAGCAGCTTTTGAGTTCTTAGAGTTTATGGCACTGAGTGTCCAGCTTGATGGCAGTTGCCTTTGGATGAGTTTGGAAAATCTGGGACAGTTTCTAAAATGTGGTATTTGGGCAGCTCTCCATTTGGGCCAGGAACTCAGTAACTTCCACTCAAGCACAGATATAGAGAAAGAAGGAGGTACAAAAGTTGGGATTATAATGACAGTATTTGAAATACTTTTTTCCTCAAACTTTTTAGTGAACTGCATGTTTTGGTGTGACTCATAAGCATGCCACACTTTAACATAGGGAAGCCGAAAAGTTGCCTTCTCTTTGGCTGTTAAAGTATATTGGCAGATGCTCCTGGAGCAGTGGACCATTTGCTTACATTTTTGCAGCAGACTTCTGCTTGTTGCCATGGTGGACATTATGTTCCTGTCAATAATTTGGCCTGGCGTAGCTGTCTGCACTGACTCTCAAACTTCATTGAACAACTCAGTTCAACTCAACAAGATTAGACAGCTTTCGTCTTTTGGCTTGCTGAAGTGGTTGCTAAATTTATAAGAGCAGGCAGGAATATTGCTTGGAAGGTTTTGCGGTGGAGAGTGTGCTTTTAAGCCCCGTAGCTGTTTGTATTCTGGAGCGTGTCTACTGTCAAGTTTTCATCTGAATACCCATTAGAAGAAATTCAGTGCAGAAGGTAAACTTAATGAAATATTTTTCTATGGAATGTTTTGGAGATGAAGGGTAGGTAAAAATGTGGTAGACTTAACTATTGTAAAAGTAAGACTGTTGAAAATTTTCACATTAAAAAAAATTTGCCTGCATTTCTTTTTTTCTTTATTTTTTTTTACTTCACTAAGGGAATTTGTTAATTTTTCCTGTTAAATATTTGAACTTTGCTGAGTTCTTTTTATGAACTTAGTACTCACATATGTTAGTTTAATGCTGATTAAAAAAATAATTTATTTTAAAAAAGTTAAGTGCTTGTGAAAAAAAGAATCATTTAGCTAAAAAGAGGGCCTTTTTCCACCCCACCCATCCGGTCTTCCTTCTCCCAGGATATGGGGGGATGTGGGAGGACCCTAGACAGACCATGCCAGTTACTCAGTTAGTCATGAAGTTAGATTCAAATGCTCATTATAAAGGCATGGCTTCTAAAAGAAACTCACTCAATTTAGTAATACAGTTTTAAGAGAAGAGTTAATTTCTTCTAGGACTAGTTAGTCAAGGGAATCCTGTTTAAACCTGGAAGAGATTAGTAGAGCTTGGTTATTCATCTTTCCCAGAAAATGCTAATTATGCATCACAGCCCTTCCTGGTAAGGGCTTGCTGGCTTTCCAAATGAAGTTCCTTTCTACAGCATTTGCACCTCAGTACTACACATTCAGGTTAAAATAAAGGTTTTATACAGCCATAAATTAGTGGAAAATGAGGCTTTGACCATTTGTTGGTTACAAAAATTTTTAATAAAGCTAAGAATTCTTGTATTTTTGACACCCTTTTGCTTTTACATAATTGCAGGCCCTTATTCTATAGCTTGCAGCATTACTGCTAATGAAGTACAAGGATGGACTAGTTCCTAAAAATATTAATCAGAAGGAAAATAGAAATGTAGGATTTTTTTTTGTAGTTTTTAAATTAGCAAAAGCATGGTTTGAATTGCATTGTAAAGATCAATGTGTGAAAATGTGGAATTACACTAATTATTTTTAGTGTTATTTGATAGATTTAACTCATAATTTATCCCATAATTACAAGGTTGGAGGTGAGAATCTGCATAAAATAATGTTTCACAGTTAACCTTCAGTAGTCAACAAATTCACTAAAAACCAAAATACACCTCATGGTTTATATTGTTTTGCAAGTTATTTGCTAGGCTGAAAAAAACTCATTGTTTAATTTCTTAAAGTCCTAGACATAGGCAGAAAGACTGTTGGCTTTAGGTAGTTTGGTAGTTCAAATCATTAGTCAACACAAAACAATAGTGATTAGTTTGTATTTTGATGCTGGTGTGTATTTATAGGTATACAGCTTTCTGAATTTGTACAAACTATGAAACTACTAAAACATACTTTTTCTGGTTTTTAGAGGCTCTCACCTAGACACATATACTTTATGGAAAACTTTGAAGATAAATTTGTATACTGGGATATGTTCCATATTTGTCCATGTAAAATGTACAATATTATTATTTATACTCAAATATAGTTTTGTTTTTTAGATCAAGAGTTTTTAGATTAGATATCTCAGCAGTGCCTGAACAACTTTTTTCCATCAGCACTTATCTTTCAGAGGATAATCTACTGGTTAAATGCTGAGCTTGTTTAGTATATATAGTTTTGGATTATGTGTATGATTCTAATAGATGAATCGGTTCACTTGTGGGTACAAATCCCTAGTTTGGTTTAATTTTATGCATATTTCTTTGATATGCTATTATAGAAAGGTATCCAATCACATTTGCAGAGAAGCATATTGGATAGATGGAAAGTTCTTACAGATCAAAGGAAACCAGAAATATTAGGGAGCTGGGGTATCAATATATGTGTAATGTCATTGGGCTGTTCCTTACATGTTTGAAGCAATGTCTGGACCCCACCAGAGCATGTACATATAAATCAGCATAATGGACACCTTCCTCACCCCCAGAGCCATCTCACACTTGAACTTTCACCCTCTTCCTTTTTCCTTTTAGTTATCAGCTCTGTGCTATGGTCTGAAGCAGAAGTGTCTTGCAAGGGACCCTGGAGGTTTCCATGATTGGCATCTTTATCATTTGTAGCCAGTGGGTTTTCTGTGCCACTCCTGGCTTTGTTAAATCTTTCATTGGGTTCAAAAAATAAAACACGGAAACCTTTGGATCACTTTCTAACAGATCATCCACTGAGGAACAGAGGCTCCTTCAACCCCAGAATCACCCAGAGCCTCAGTGAGTGTCCAAGCTCCTCTAATCCCAGAGGCCCAGTTTCCTCAGGCAGATGAGGGGAACCTGCACACCCACAGCTCTAGGCTGGCAAGACATCCAGTCCCAGTGGGACCTGCAGGGGCATTGGAAAGCCCCTGAGGAAGAGCCTCACTAGCAGATTAAGCTATAAGCTTATGATGATAACTTGCTGATTCTCACTACATCTCATTTTAATTGTCTTATTCCCAGCTCCCCTTCTTCCTTCCATTTGTATTTTGGGCCCTCCTTCATAAACAGTTTTGTCTGAAGAACATCCCATCATAATGCAGCTTTCAGTGTGGCCAAGAATGAGAAAATGCCACCTTCTTTAGAGGGAGACCTAATTGATGACTATTTTTGCTCCTTAAATTGATGCTCCTTAAAATGGTCACAGAGCTTTTATGTTCCTTCTTTCTTTAGAGGATGAAAGTCCTGGACAGACCTTTCACAGAGAGAGAAGAAACGCAGTCACTATGCAGCCACAGAGTGTCCAGGGGCTTGGCAAGATCAGTGAGGAGCCTTCAACATCTAGTGACGAGAGGGGCTCGCTGATCAAGAAGGAGATCCATGGGTCTCTGCCCCACCTGGCTGAGCCTTCCATCCCATACCGTGGGGCCGTGTTCGCCATGGACCCCAGGAATGGTTATGTGGAACCTCACTACCGTAAGTGGGTCCTGCCTCATAGCATGTGTCCCAGAGCCATGGGAGGCTCTGTGTGTGTGTGTGTGTGTGTGTGTGCGCGCGCGCGCGCGCACATGCGACGTGCATGGGCTTTATATGAATTATTTGGCTTACATTAATTTATACAAGTATATAATTTATTTTCCACTTTTCTTTCTCCTCCCACTTCATGTCCTTTCTTTGTAGGAAGAGGCATTTCCTTTTATCACTAAGTAACTTCTGGCCTCAGTGGGGTGGCTTTCAGGAAGGTGACCATCTGTGACTCATTCACTTGGACCTTTCCTGGCAACTGGAACCAGATTTGCTTCATCCAGCTAGGTGCTGCAGGGGAAAATTGGTTGATGGGGGAGTGGGCTGCATTAGCTGAAATCTTTAACAGCAGCAATTCCCATTTTTAATGATGTTTTACTTAATTGTTGAGGAGGAACAAACCTATGTTAACAAATGAGTACCAAATTCCTTAGCATGGAAGATTTTTCTACATGCTCTACTTTCTTCATTAACTAGTATACCAGAAACATCGGACATTTCCTTTTTCAGCACTAATACAGTTTAATATATCAATGAGGACTCTGAACACAGATATATAATTGTTTTCTGCAAAGGCAGAGTATAAAGAAAAATATTATGTGTTGAGTTTATTTCTGGCCTGTTTCTAGTTAAAAGATGTAATTTTTTTGTGGAGTAATGAAGTTTGTATTGAGGTGCCAAAGTCTGTGGCTTTTGATTACAGATTTATCACTTTGCCAGGATACAGACTTGCCATTTAACCTTCCCGGCTCCAATTCCAGATGATCCATTGAGCTCCAGAATGGGGGACTGGTTCTTGTTTCCCTTTATCCACATCATTCAGAAATTTTAGTGTTTTAAGGCAAAAGGTCATTAGCCAGATGACTGATTATTGAGGAGAGCTGATTAGTGCATGTTTTCTTGCTCAAAAAAGTGCCCAGGCTAAAAACTAATTCCATTTCTTCATTAGTTGGCTTGCAACAGAGGGGGATTGTCCCTCATCAGGGTGCAGATCAAAGGGTCTCACACAACCCGAAATCTGAGCAACTGCCCCCCAATATATTGTTGGTAAAGATGGAAGATACTTTATTTTTATTAAGGGGAGAGAGAATTTTTTAAAAAGTGGTCAGAGGTATGGAAGAAAAGGTTTTATGGATACTTAAGAAGTCTACAAATTCTGTTTAAAAAGTGTTGATATATCAGCCCTGTTGTGTTATTTTCACAGCTGCAGAAATAAGGAAGAGGTATAGTATGTATGTTCCTGTCCTTCCATCATTAAAAGGTTATTTCATTTTATTTTATTTTAGGAATGAGATTTTAAAATGGTGTTGTCAGGGCTTTTCTCTGAGCGCATTTCTGTTTTCTACATTGTATTTTTATTTATGGGTCTCTAGTAGAAATCATTTGTCACTCTGTTTAGAGGGCATAGCACCAATAGTTTGGCTATTCTTTAGCTTTTCCCACAGTATTGTTCAAATTACTATTAAAATTGCATGATAACTTATAGGCTATGTAAGTTTAGTCTTTTACCAAATGTCATGTGTTACTTTGACCTACAATTCCAATGTAGTCCCTAAATTGGTCATAAATAAATGATGTCATTATATATATAATGGTGAAAAAGTCCAACCATTGTTAATATTAGGAGAACAGGTTGTACAACATTGATATAACCTGGCACCTGAGGAGAGTGGACTGGAATGTGCATGCATGAACAATGATGACTTCACTGTACTAGTCAGTGAGGGCGGTAGATGCCTTTGAGGGAACATGTGTACTGTGTGGCTGTTGCACTTAAAATGACTGAACAAGTAGAGCAATGAATCTGCATCAAACTTTGCATTAAGCTTGAACATTCCTCTGTGGAAACTGTTTGGATGATTCAGAAGGCTGCAGCTATGGGCAAATGGTGACTGGCAGCTTCATCAAAACAATGTCTGCTCACGTATCATGTCTCTTGCAGAGTTTTCTCGTGAATCATCAAATCACCGAGGTGACTCAGCCCCCCTACAGTCCAGATTTGATACCCTGTGACTTCTTGCTTTTCCCAAAACTAAAATCACCTTTGAAAGGGAAGAGATTTCAGACCATCGATGTGATTCAGGAAAATAGGACAGGACAGCTGATGGTAATTGGGAGAACTGTGTGAGGTCCCAAGGTGCCTCCTTTGAAGAGGACTGAGGCATCATTATCCTATGTACAGTGTTTCCCGTATCTTGTATCTTCTTCAATAAAGGTCTCTAATTTTCATATTACATATCTAGATACTTTTTGGACAGGCTTTGTATAATATGGACATGGAGTCCTAGAGGTTACACAGATTAGTTTAACAATGAAGGGATTTGAGTTTAAGTTCCAGCTTTGTCACTTACTGGCTGTGTGATCTTGCCTAAGTGTGGTGATCCCTCTAAGAATTACTTCCTAACTGTTGAATGGGGGTAATATATGACTGCCTGCCCCCTGGTGTTCTCTTGAGAATTAAGTGAACCAGTGCAAATAAAGTATTTAATAACATCTCGGGTTCAGAGTGAGTGCCTCAAAAGTATTATGGTAGTTGTCTTCTGACTCCTTCCTCCTCCTATTCCTATTTCCCCCTTCTTCCTTCTGTTCATCATAATCATCATCATCTTCATCTGTAGTTGATGAGTTTGTTTTCCAAACCAAGTTATTTTTGTTAGTGCTGCAGTTGTGTTTGGATCAGGATAGACTGGTTTTTCTCTGCCAGACCTGCTCACCTGCCTCCCTGAGGTCAGTGTCTCTTATAAACACAGATTAGTGATGGAGTGGTGGTTTATAAACCTTAGGAAAAGGGTTGGTGTGGTCAGAACTTTGCTCTGGTGATTTCTGAACATAACCCTTTCTCATGGCAACTTAGTGGGTTGATTATAGTTTTTTCCTGTTTTGTAAGTAATTTTAAAATGTTTAAATGACTGTGAGAAATTTTAACATTTTAAATTCTTGCCAGAAAGTGTTTTATGTAACAAACTTAATACATGCAGAAAATGAGAGGTACAATATTATTTATTTATATTAAATAACTTAAAGATGTCCTAAACTAAGTTTTGAAGAGTCAGACAGGACATGACTTTACTTTTTCGAGAAGCCCGTTAGATTATTTAATCTTCTACTAGTATAAACAATGTTTTTTAGATACTTTATAATAAAATCTGTTAGATTTTATCTGGCTTGAAATATACTGTAAAGCTAATAACTGATGTGACACTGAAGTTGATACATCTTCTGAGAGTTTTTTAATGTGTGAGAAAAGCACTGTCTTTTAAAAATGAGATGTAGAAGCTTGCTTTGGCCAGGTAGCTCAGTTGGTTAGCCATCATCCTGATATACCAGTGTTGTGGGTTTGATGTTCAGTTGGGGCCCAGGAAGCAAACAAGGAATTTAAAAATAAATGGGACAATAAATAGATCTCGATTTCTCTCTCTCTCTCTCTAAAGAGACCCCCCACCCCCTGCCCCCTTCCTTCCTTTCTCTCTAAAGCCAATAAATTAAAAAAATTTAAAATTTAAATTAAAATGAGATGTAAAAGGTGATCATGTTTCTTTACCTTGTCTCAGTCCTGCAGTATTGTCAATAATACAAGTTCATTGCAGATCTTTAGCAGCTCAAGGTTCAGAAACACCTTTTTGGGTTGTTCCTTTTTCCTTTGAGTCCTGTGCCAGCTCCGTCAGGCTGTGGAAGAGAAAAGACCATTCTAACACAGTGTAGCTGGGTATCTGAGCACTCACAGTAATTCCTTCATTTCTCTGTGGTTGGAAAATGCAGAGTTTCCAAGATGCCTAATTTGTGCTTCTATATATACTAACTTTGTGTTTCTAACGCGTGGGCAGGCTTCCTGTAAGACGGGAAAAAGGAAAATTATTTTTTTTCCCCCTCAGAAGAACATCTGTAAAATTTTTATTGCACAGGACTATTATACTTGGGTATACAATGTTGCATCTTCACAAATTGCACTTAGGCAGGATTCAAAGTATTTTAGGTTTTGTGGGTTTGACTTAAAAAAAAAAAAAAGAAAACCAGGGATAATGAGTACTTCAAACATTTGCAACATATGTTTGGAATAAAATCCTCGTGGGGGCATTGAAGGTTATTGTCTCATGAAGGGAACTGTGGATGGGCTGTATATCAAGGCCAGAAAGTAGACGTTCAGGCTGCATAGCTCAGACATGGTGTGGTGATGACAGGCTCACTGCTACAGGATCACTGGTGCTTGATAATTGGGGAGAACATGGGAGGGGCCAGATCTGAGGGGCCTGACCTTAGTTAGGATAAGGACCCCCATCTCCTGCCCTAGGATTTCTCAGCAGTTTTATTCTGCTCCTGTTCCGTATGTAGCCAGATATTTTAAACCACCATCTACCCCTGCTTTCACTTACTGCCATGAATTTATTCTTTTATAAACTTGCAAGGCAGGTGACATAATAGTTAAAGCATTCCTGTACCCTAGGCAACACTTATGTTTTATTCTCTTCTCTGTTACAGGACACATGTGTTTCATTGTCTTCTATGTTAGTCTTAACTGTGAAGAGTTCAGTTTTCTAACTGTCCCTGCAGAAATCTTTGTGGGAAGTTTCTTGGATTCACTAGTCATGTCCTCCTATAGGTCCCCTGCAGGCTTTATTAAAGGGGAAAGAAAGATGCCCCTTTTTCTAAAATTTTAGGGTTTTTTTACAGTTTTATAGTTATGTGGAGACTACTTTTCTTCTGCCCCCAACTGCTCCCAAGCAGTAATTCCTCCTGGAAAATATGATTCATTCGTCCATGTCAATGCTGTGATTGAAAACATATCATTGATTCTTCCTTATGTTTCCCAGCTCAGATGACAGGACTATTAGTTGCTAATTTGCAAAACCTGAGGAAGTAGCTTAAAGAAAAGAGACTGAATTTTTAATTGCTTGCATTTATTTTCTGTGGAAAGCTGATATGCTGAGAGCACTTGCATTCTTAAAAAAATCTTG